CCGAATTGAATTCAAACTCGTCAAAACTAATAATTCTATCAAGGTCAATAATAATAATCGGATTTTGGTATTTGATTCTTACATTTCGCATGAACCTTTTTAGGAAATTTGTTATTACCAAACGTGTTTGCTTCATTTCTGTTCATCACATCTTTCTCTTCCTTCACTCTATCATTCATCTCGACATTCATTTTGTTCAACTACAAAAAATTACTGCTTCAATTATACAAAAAACACGCATTGAATAGACTTTCGAAAATTATTACAATTGAGAAAAAAAAGAAACAAAGAAAATTCGGCTAAAATGAATTAAAACTGTTCTAAGCTTTAGAAAATGTAAAGCAAATTCTTTCAATAAACCTGATTTTTTTACTTTTGCTGTTTTGGATTTTCCTGTTTACTCCTTCAGACAAAAACACAAATTGAATAGAAAATTTCAAAAACTTTTTCAACTTTGAAGAGAACTGAGGAAAATTTACAAGAGAAAATAAAAATTATTGTGCCAAGCTACGTTTCAACTGTTTCAAACCAAAAAATACAAATCAAAGGCGAAAGGGAAAGAAAATTCCGAATAATTAATCATCATTGATAATTAATTAATGGCTTCAACATGGAAATTTTCGGGTGAACTAACGGATTTTATATGTTTCTTCGGTGTTTTTCTCTAGCTCGAAGTTTATTCCTTGGATGTTAATAATTTCAATTCGTTTGTCGTTTTTTTGGAAATTTTCCGTTAAAAATAGTTTTCCGTTACTTCATTTCTTACTTATCTGCGAATTGAACTTTTCATTTGCTTTTTCGAATTTTCGTTTGCTTATCTTTGTCATTTCCTTTCATATGCTGCACAAAATAATTGTTTTCAGCTGTTTTTCGAGTTTTTTTGTTTCAATTAATTGCAATGTTTTGATAAAACATTACGATTATCAATGATCCAAAACAATTTATTCAGTTTTTTCTTCATCTTTTGCCTTGAACTCGTCAACCGTTAATTGACAAGCTATGAGCGTCCTGCGTTCTAAAAAATTGCAAAACAAAGTCAAATGAGATGAAAAATCAGAGTAATTTATTCTAGATGATTATTGATATTCGGTCTTTTTCTTTCTATCTTGTCTCTTTGGAGCTCTTTATTGTAAAGTGATTGGATTCCAAGTCCTAAAAAAATGTCACGCAAAGGCAACACAGAAAGGAAAAATTTGTTCCGAAGCTTTGAGCAAAACCTGGGGGTTTGGTCAAAACATGACAATTAAACAATCAATTATCAATGATACTAAACGAATTATTCTGTCTTCGCTGGGTATTTTATAGCCTGCCCGGACTGAACTGGGAAAAAAATGAGGCTTACACATCCTCCATTAGCTGTTTCGTATTTATCGTGGAAAAGACACGAGTCCCAGCCAGAAACGTTGTTTACAAAATTGATTTATGCATTGCAGGTGATAGCATGATGACGTACTGTAATAACGGTGGCGGCGGCGGAGGCGGCGGCGGGGGCAATGTAGGAGGCGGTGGAGGAGGCGGCGGCTCTCCACCCCCGCAGATCTCGTGTTCGAACGCCGTCACTCCACCAGTGTCGTCAGGCGCCTCCCCAAGCGGAGGGGAGCAGGATGAGGAGGTTTGGCGTGGCCACAGTATTGCTGCGCTTCGACGTCGAGCTTCCGAACTTAATGCCGCTATCCCTTCTTACCTACAAATCAACTATGACACACACAATAATGCATCCGTTTATTAAATTTTTCCTTTGCAGCATTCCGGTTATTAATAAATAAAAATGATTCATGGTCAGATTGGTTGAAGAATCGCCTCTGTGCATGTTGGACGCGTAAGCAATGCCCATTCCCTCTCACTTTCTAACTGCAAATTCAACTTTCTATTCTAAGATTGTGCTCATTTTAAGTTCAATAAATGGGGAAAAGAAGACTTAAGTCTGTCCTCTAACTTCAAAGAACCGATTTTAATAGAATTTTGTTGCTCATTTTCTTCCGAAATAATTGTCTTTTTAATTGTTTTAAAATTCTGAAATTTTTTGCGATTCTAGAGTGCTAAAATACATTTTGCTACTGCGAAATTTTTTGCCAGGATTCTCCAAGGAACATTGACATTTGAGGCTATTTTTATTGGATTTCATAATTTGCCTTTGTATGACACACATTTTACTTTACATTGGGGTTAAATGGGAAAGTTAGTTTGCTGCTACCCGGTAGTGCTTAATTGCGTCTCGATAATAGAATTAAGCAAGAAAAAGCAGTCTGTGCCAAAATCGGAACATTTGACGGAAATTTGGAGGCTTTATTCGCGTTGGAAATTTCCGCTCCCGTAACAGTCTGTACAAAACCTCCGATTTTCCCCCTTGGTTGAGCGAGAAATATTTTTGTGGAACACTCAGTATATTTGCGCATGTAGTTCGTTCGTATGCAACGGCCGGTTAAGATTAATTTTCAAATTCGAACATTTTTTATACCGAAACTTTCCATCCGGTGAATCCATTGGAATTTCACGTTTAATTTTTTGCGTCGAAACGAAGCCCCCGACCAGGGAACCCTTTTTTTGCTAAAAATCTGGGCGCGCTAACAGATATTTATTTAGTGCAATTTGTCCGTTTGCAGCCTTCCGTTTATTAATAAATACAAATAATTTATGGTCACATTGGTGAAGGAACCATTTCTGTGCATGTTGTACGCGTAGCTTTCATTTTATCAGTTTAAATGTCTATTTTATTTTCATATTCACGTTCTAAACTGGCAAAAAGTTTGTTCTATAGAGGTATGAAAAGTTGCAGATTTTTTTTAATAGAAACGTCTTACAAGAATGTGGCCGTCGTATTAAAATCTGGCTTTATTTCGATGTAATGCGATGTTTTTCTACATCAATTTTAGTTTAAAAAAAAGACAAATTGATAGTTTTTTTATCACATCTAAGTCAATTGTGCTCATTTGAAGTCAAAGGAATAAGGAATAGAGGCTCGAGTCGCTCCTATATTTTCAAGAAACAAGAAAGCAAAAATGTGTTGAAATAACAGAAAATTATGCGAACCCAGAACGCTAAAGATCATTTTTCAACGGTGGATTTTTTGCCAGTATTTTCCGGAAAAAAATTATTTTTTTAGGCCATTTTAGTTGAATTTCATAATTTGTTTTTGTACGACACACATTTTACTTTACATGATGTTAAATGGGAAGGTGCGTTGTGTGTTGCCTGGATTGTGCTCAACTGGATCTTGATCTGTAAAATTCAGCGAAAAAACGTTGTCTGTGTAAAAATCGGCTCAATTGATGAGGATTTCAGGGTTTTTTTAACTTTTGAAATTCCGAACCCATAAGAACGCATTCCAAACTTTCGATTTTCCCCCTTGGCTCAGTGAAAGACGTTTTTGTGGAACACTCAATATCTTTGGGTCTGTAGTTTATTGGTATGCAACAACCAGTTAAGATAAATTTTCAAATTTTTTTTACCGAAACATATCCGATTAATTCGTTGGAATTTGACTCGAAAATCACGCACTAATTTTTATCGCGTGAACGAAACCTCCCATCAATAAAGTCATTCCTAATAAAAAATTTGCAGTCGCAGCCGGTTTCTAGACCAAAATCGCAGTATGTATGGTTTTCGAGGTAACGACAAAAACATTTAGTCTTTAAAAAAATTTGCAAATGAGCAGAGCTGAATGTATGCGATAGAGCTGAAAAAATGGATAATTAATATGAGAAATTCACTTGGCAGCGCTGGAAAAGTCCAAATAAATTAACTGCGCTATGGATTATGTTTTGAGAAATTTGGAAAATCAGACCTCAGTGTCTTTCTCACCAAAATTGCATGGGGTTTAAATAGGGATTTCCATTTAAAGCCCCGTTATCATCAAATCCATTGAAATAGACGATATATAATTTTTGGTGAATGAATTCACCCTGCTCGGCAGTACTTTAACGGTCTAAAAATCATAATTTTTGCTGCCAAAAGATTGCGAAAATGTGCCATCATCAAAGATCAAAGAAGAACCAAAGAGTTACTGGTTAGAATTTCCAAAATTTTGCTTCAAAAAATCTAATATCTTTTCTACAGTAAAAACAGCCAAAAATTGTGAACTCGTCAGTGCCAATGTGTATCAATTTTTTTATAATAACTTCGGTTTAACGGTTTTACATCTGCTTTATGCAAAAGATGCCCCGAGCCTAGAAAAAATTAATAATGAGAACAATCCCAGTTATTTTTCATAATTTTCGTTTTGAATCCACTGGGAATGGGTATGAAGTGAAAGTCTATGTTGTAATTGTGTTTTTCCAGTGTATAAATTACATAAAACCCCACACTACCCAATCAAAATCAAGACAATTCCTCTCTTGAATGTTCCGACTTTTCTGTATAGATGTAAATATTTTGATGGAATCAACCGAACTAGCGGTATTTTATATGCATGGTTTTCTAAAAAAATGTGCCCACTATTCAAGCTGAAACCATCATTATCTTACAGAACATTTTCTTAGAAACCCATTTCTAGACCTGTTGTATACGTATTATTATGCCATATTGGTTATAGAACTAAAGGAGAAAAAATTAACTAAACACACTGTATACATTCGTTTAACGTGAATGTGCTCTTTATGAAGTATACGATTTAAACTTAGTTTGTACAAATATTGCAATGATAGCTTATAGGGGCCCTAGATTATAGATATGTATGTATTTTATTATATTAAAAATTGATAGAGTTGTATCAAATGTGTTCTTTTAAGCGGACTTGTGGTAACAATAAAAAAACGTTTTGTAAACTATTTATTTGCTGTAGTTTTGTGGCTTAATATCAAGGAGGGATGCAATGGAGCACGAATAACGGCTTTACCTTCAATTAATTAGGTCAGTGGTGGTTTTTGCGCGTTTTTTTATTGTTTTGAAACTTTTGATTTGGTCAATATACGGTTTTTGTTTCAAACATGAGGCCACCTTAAAATATTCATTAGGAGCAATGAGCAGTTTTTGCACAGCCGATTACAGTAAAACACACAAAACCCAGTAAATTGCAGCCATTTATTTCATACAGGTTTATTCGTTACATCTACCCTATTCATAGGACCTACGTGTACTAGAAGACTACTCAGATGCATTGCTGTGCGAAGTCTTCATCTAGACGCCCCCAACTAGCCATGCTCCTTCCTTGCCCATTTCTGCCTGCGAGGGCCGGTGTATTTTATATACATGCTTCTTCAATGTTCAGGCTTCTGCATCAACTATCTAAGTATATTATTCTCCAAGCCATCCAGCTTCCTGCGAAGCAGCAAGTGTTCTTCCTTTATCAACTCGCCCAGTAGCTTCATGGCTTTGTCGATTTGCTTCAAGCTCGCTTTGCTGAAGGATGCCCGGATGTACTGGCACGCCTGAGTGGGATCGGCCATGAAAGCGTGTCCAGGCACAAAAGTGATGTTCTTCTTCAGCCCTCGGGTCATTAGCATGTCGTAGACATCGGCAACTCCATGCACTTTGATCCAGACGAACATTCCACCTGTGGGCACTGTCCATTCGCAGATGTTCTTTAGATGCTTGTCCATGGCCGCTATGGTGAAGTCACGTCGGGCTTGATAGTATCGTCTCACGTAGCTGAAGTGCGAAAGGAGACCATTGAAGCCCCAGGCAGAGATCAGATTGTCGAAGATAACCTGAAGCAGAAAATTGAGGCTGTGATTGACGTAGTCGCTTCGTTTCCTGGTAGAAACCACTAATTGCCGTTATCGCTATCAACACGAGGCATAAAAATGCTTCAACTGTAGCTGCGATTCCGGACTGAACTGCTTCAGCCCGTTTTAGCAGCCGCAAAGCCGATTGCGTTATTTTTTTTAACCACTAGGTCAACGTACAACTTCAAACGGATGTAGTCCAGCGTGCGAATTCGCTACATTTTGCAAGCCGAATTCGTTGTTTTTGTCATTGATAATGCGAATTGCGTTATATATTTTGCAAATTAATTTTATTGCTTCAACCCTGAGCAGTCTAATTACAATAGGTCAAGTTTTACAGTGTTTTGGCTGATAAACAGCCTCGAGTTGCCACTCGGGATTATCTAGCAAAAGTCCACTTTTAATATGATTCGATTGGTGTTGCCAGCGGCAGAAGCTTCAAACTTTTTTTGCATCATCAACCAGTTGATTCTTCCTCACTTTCAGTGCAGCAGTTCAAGACAGTTTGCTTTGGCCTCTTGTTCAGCCAGGCTTTAGTCCAGCTGATTACATGATTATTACGATGGGTCGCTTTTGATTGCTCAGACCTTATGGCTTTTTGCCACCAAATTTGCATAAAAACAGCGTGCAAGTCAGAAACTGTGCATTTTTGAAAAAACGCAAACCACCTTTTGTGCCCACCTGACTGTGGAATTGGCAGCTAATTTTGTTTGCAACAAAGCCATTGACGGGTGGCGTTTTTCCGTTCAGAAAGCATCAAATGTTGAATAAAACGCTAATTCCCTCGGACAATTTTTCAAATTATAAAAGATATCATCATAATGCCAAAAAACGCAAAAGAGCTTGTTTGTTCCCAACCCGATGCTGAATGTGAAAGTAATTTTTGTTTGGCGAAAAAACCATGGTGTGTACCGTTTGTATCGTCCAAAACAGCACTCGCCCACACGTGTTATGACTTGGGGCTCCTTTATATTTTTTTTGGGTAAACGGGTGCAATTTGTGCAAAAATGTAATTTAAAATTGGGGGAAAAGACATGGTTTTGGAAGTGTTCAGCAAATTTAAAAGGAGGAAGCAAAATATCGCCAGTCGCCAGCATCTCAAAAATCCTGTTTTTAGTAACCGAACTCAATTTTGATCACACTGTTTACTCTCATAACATAATCATATTGATATAGTGGATAAAAAAATTCGTTTTTTATCGCCCGGAAGCGAGCGGTAACTCAATGAATTTTTAGGAGTTGGCGTAGTGCCGCTCAAATGGCTTGGTGCGCCAACTCAAGGCACTAGCGCAACAACTCAGTTCCGTTGCTGGGAAAATGTAGATGACTTTTCCTTACTTGTTTTAGATTTATTTTAAAGGCCATTTATTAAGAATATTTTTTAAATGTCTTCAAATTTCACAGTTTTAGAACTCTTGGAAACTGGCGTTTCCTCAATTTTAGGTCAATATTTGTAAACGGCACTGCCTCTGAACAGAAAAACCGCGTTTTTACTAACGGTTTACTGCAAAATACTGGCCAACTGAACCATTTATGCAAAAAAATTAAGATATCGACTTTACAAGAAAACTCGTCGACTTTCTTTGGACTCAGATCTATTGCATGGAAAAACTGCATGACCTTTTTTAGGTGTTTGAACAAAGTAGTAAAACGTTACTTAGGAAAAATGTTGATGACCCTTTTTTATATGTGAAAATCCCAGTATCGAGTCTCGTAAATCTTTAATAAATGACTTGTAACTCATTAATCGATGAGTTATAACTCGATAACTCGGGGAGCGGCAACAAGTCAATAGCGCAACTCAACACAGTGTTACCCAGGCTCGCCGGACACGGCACTGGTACCAAAAGAAACATTGCAAAACTTTCATTATAAGAGAGTTTCATCCCTTTAATGCAAAAAACTTACAAAAGATGAATCTTTCTTAATTTTTCCTTTGGCACAAAAATGCTATTAAACCATGTCTTATGTATTTGTTGTGCTGACAACTGGAAAGAAACTAAAACATGCATTATTTCTGGGTTTTGTTCCAAAAATATTTGTACGAACTGAAAAAGCGAAAGTTTATAATCATTTATTTGGAAAAATCTTGGAAACTGGGGTTTCTTTACTTTCAGGTCAATATTTCAACATTGTCTCTAAGCAGAAAAACCGTGGTTTTCGTAAAGTTTTACTGTAAAATACTGGCAAATTGAATCTTTTATGCAAAAAAATTAAGAGATCGATTTTACGGGAAAACTCGTCGCCTTTCTTTGGGCTCAG